ATAATATATTGATAATATATTGATAATATATTGATAATATATTGATAATATATTGATAATATATTGATAATATATTGCTGATATTAACATTTTATTAGCATTTTATTAGCATAATAATTGACAAATATATTTATAAAATTAAATTATAGTAATAAAATGCTAATAAACTACTTATATTTATATAAGTTGCTTATTTTTAGCAAGTTCAATTTATTTGAATAGATTATTTGACTATTTAAACTTTTATAGTAAGCACTAACCTTTTTTTTTTTCTTGTCAAAAAAGATGTGGTGAGGGTTCATGGGTATTCGACAACGCGTCCTCTTATCCGAATTCTACTTTTCATGGAGTAGACATAGCAGAAATGTATCCAAAGGACACTTCTGCTTATCCAAATGTAAAATTTTCTCAAGTTAATATAGTCAATGGTTTGCCCTTTGAATCAAACTCTTTTGATTTTATACACCTAAGATTTTTGGTTCAATATTTAACCGAGGATGAATGGGATAATAAAGTTTTAAAAGAGTTAATAAGAGTTTTAAAGCCTGGTGGTTATTTGGAAATAATGGTGCGTTTTGTTTTGTTTTTTTTTTGATTTTCTCTATCTTGTGATTCTGGCTTACTAATAACCTTTTTAAACTAATAGGAATTTGATATGATATTTTTCAATTCTGGTTTTAATGGTGTTAAATTACAAACTTCAAGTAAATATATATATTTTTTAATTACAAAAAATCTAAATATTAATATTATAAAAAATCTAAAATATGCTATTTACATTTTATTAGCAATAGGATATTTCAAATCTAAACAAATAAACGCTATAATATCCCAACATCTTTTAAAATATTTATCAACCTTACCACAAGTCTCTGAAATACATCATGAAGTAAAGTCAACCCCTTTAGGTGATTGGGGTGGTAGATTAGGAAGTTTTGCAAAAATTTATTTTCTGTTGGCTTTCAAATATATGAAACTGGTCCTACCAGAGTATATGAAAATTAGCGATGATGAGTACGATGATATTATAACCAAGTTTGGTGTGGAGTGTGAAATAAATGAAACTTATATAAAAACCTTTAGGGTTTATTGTAAAAAAACGTGCTAACTAATATGTTTAAATAATTCTCGTATTATACTTTGTATTTATAATTTATTTTATCTTTATTAATAATTTTTTAACAGTTAATGATTTTAGTTTTTTCATTCTATCACTATAGACTTTTTAGAACTTTTCATATATGTATATATGAACTT